TACAACTACAAAAAAATTTAAAAGAAAATTGAAACCTGGGAGCATCCAAACACAATAGGCAGTGTATATAGAGCTGTGGGGCTGGGGCTTGGAGGTACAGTGTTGTTGGGAGATGCAGATGGTGTTTGGAGACCTACAGTTTTATGAAACACCCTGAAAGAAAATGGGGAAAGGGGAGAGATCAGAGTTAAAGCCAGCCCAGCGACAAACAGGCCCTTGGGGGCTGGGCCAATGGCTGGGTGGACACAGGGCCACCACAGAGTAGATAGATGCTCAGTAAAGCTTTGTTCCAAGGCCAATCAGACCCAGGGTTGTTGCCATCACTCGTGGAGTTTCTGGAGTAGCTCGCTACTGACGTGAAGATTTATGGCGACCTTAAGCTCATGGACAAACGGACAAGGAGTCTTTGCCCATCTTTAGTTAGTAGACTTGGGGGCTGGGGAGATAGCTCAGTGGTAAAGCACTTGCTTAGCATGCATGTGGCCCGGGGTTCAATCCCCATCACCACATTAAAAAAAAAAAAAAAAAGATTTAGTTAGTAGACTTGGTAATTTTAAGCTCTTTTGGGAAGGAATACCTGGATATCATATAGATTTCTGGGGCTGCCAAACTGAGGCTGAGACCCCAGGCTGTGACAGCCTGCTGTTCCCTGAGAATGGAAAGCAGAGGTTTTCCCTTTTTTGTTCCCCGTTTTCTCTGTCTTTGGTGGCAAATAAGGCAAATGGAGGTGGGGGACACAGAAGCCTCCCTAGTCCCTAGAAAGTGCCAGCACCAACCCCCCACCTTCCGATGCATTTCACACATGCAGCCTGGCATGGCCAGGGTCTGCACAGCCCCTCAGAGCTCTAACAGACATCGCCTCATTGAATCCACTGCGTCCCATCAGGCAGAGCCTGCTTCCCTATATTTCAAGAGAAGTGTAGGCTCAGAGAAGCCAGGTAACCAGCCCCAAACACACAGATAAATTGGAGTTTAACTTAAAACCAAGATTATCTAGCACAAAAGACTAGCTGTTTTTTGAAGATGAGAAACTGAGACCCGTGGGAACCTGTGGGAAACTGAGGCAAGTGGGTTTGTATGCAAACTCACAAGTGCTGCTAACAGTGTAGGACACTAGTGTTCTGCCCCAGTCCTGACTGCTTCTGCTCCCACCTCGCCCTCCATGCACACTTCAGGTGGGGGACATTGTGAACTTTCCTACTGACCTGGCTTTCAGAGCCCATCTTCCATATCCTCTCTCTCCCCACCTTCTGAAAACCCTGAGACTGCCTCCTTCCTTGTGTTGACCACACATGAAACAAGAGAATCACCTGCCAGAGGCAATGGAGAGTGGAGCTGTTTCCTGGAACTCACCCCATCCGTGCATCCAGGCCTCCCAAACCCAGCTGGTTGGCCAGTCTCAGAGGCCCAGCACTGCCTGAGCTTGCTGGCCTGGTCTGGCCACATTCACTTCCTCTTTGGGCCTCAGTGCCTTGGCCAGGATGGTAGTTAAGGCCTTCCTGGGTTAATGAGGAAACCTCCTTTTCAGGAAGTGGGAGAAGCTGCGGTCTTTAATAATGGAGGTTAGATGCTAGAATTAGTCAAAGGTCCTGCAGAGAGCGCAAAGGGAGAATGCCCTGTTGGTATAGAAGAGTGCACCTCCACCTGCAATCTGTGAATACAAAGAAAACTCAAATCATAGGAAGCTGATAGCTATATTTTAATAAATCAAAGTTTGGAATTCCAAGTCTCAGGAAACTTCCATAAGATCCACAGTGATGCAGATTCACTCATTCCTACGTGGATTTTGATGTGCAATGATGTTTTATGTTCACCAAGGGAAGGCAAGGGGATTCGAGGGGCAGGGGGGGGACGGGAGTGGAGACAAGCTAAACTCCTAAGATAAATAGAGGTGAAGATTGAAAGTTAATCAGAAATTTTCAAATGAAACTTTTATGTCCTTGATGTTGCTACAAAAGGTTTTCTGTTTTGCTGTGGCAGTAACCTGAAATGCAGAAAACAAAGCCATTAATAATAACAGAAAGACGGACCAGGTGTTTCTGTAAATAATGAACACCATGGTAGCCTTGGAGCTCGGCTCCATTCATGTGATTCTTCATTCAAATGCACCACAACAGATGGAAACCCTCAAAGTCAGATGTAGCTGCAATTCATAAACACTCTCCAGGCTGTTTCTGAACCACTTTGAAGTCTCCAGGGTCAGGGGGCGTACAGCACAGGACCTACTGCATGAAACAGTGCTTCCCTTTGTTTCTGTCAAATGTGCCTCATTGCATTCTGGTGGGGGGAGTGCAGGGAGATCCTCTTATTTAAGGACATGAGGGCCAAGTCAACCTGATCTCAGTCTTACTGTTGGTAGTTCCATAGTGTTCACCATGTCCCATGTCCTGTGTCACAGGTGGTGCCAACAAGGGACATCTGGGTTTGCATTCAACTCAGCTACCTATTGGAGATCTTGGGCAATGTTCATGATCTTTCTTAGTCTCCATTTTCTCATCTCAGAATGTGGATAATGAGTGTAAACTTCAAGGTGTTCCTGAGGATTAAGGGAGGTGACGGCAGGTGAAGGGCTCCGGGAGGTGCCTGTGAGGAATGCTTTACCAGCCCTGCACGTGGCTGCCCTGCAGGGTGAGGCTTCCATGCCTATTTATGTGTTTGGTCTGTTTTGTTTTTTTGGTGTAATGGGTCAGTTACACCAAACAGAAACATTCAGTTTCACTCCCTTTTTCTACACTTTAGGGTGACCCTATCTGGATTCTGAAACCAAAGGAGTGAGTGTCGATTCAAAATAGACAGCACGTTTTTTTTTCCACTCTAGTTTTTAAGTCCAGATCAGACAAGGGTAATATCTATAAAAAGATCCTGTGGTTGTTCCAGGGGATCCCCATAAAACCAAAGTGAGGAAACCCAGCTAATCAATATAATGATTATTTGGTTTCATAGAGAATAAAGAACATTTGTTGACATCATTCTTGTCTGCATTTGCTATGTTGATGTCTCTGTTTACATTTTTACATTGATGGTCATGTTCACTGCCCAGTTCTCTAGCAGGGACACTTAATCCCCCCAAATATTCATTCAATCAGAATGGTTTTTCTGGGCAGAGGAGCCAGGAGTGAAATGGCTTGAGACAGCAGAATAAAAGGGAAGTGTTTTACTTAATTAAAAGTGCCAGGGTTTTGGAAAAAAGTGTCTGGTCAACCTTCCCAGGGATAAGGCCAAGGAAAGACCTGATCAAGCAGGACCAAGAAGGGCCCAGAAGGGCGCCAGACTCCCGCTTTCTCTTCATTACAGACACAAGGCATTCATTCTCTGGCTGGAACCTGTCTCCCTGAGCCCTGGGGAAAGGCCACTCACCGTTGTGCTCAATCCACCGGTACTGCCGGTCCAGGCACAGCTCCTCCTGCCGCTGCCTCACCAGCTTCCGTATCTCGGGGGTCAGGCCATTGGGATCACGTGCAAACACAAAAGAGTAGCTGTCTGCACAGGTGCCATCAAAGTTGAGGAGGCGGCAGGAGTACTGCAGGGCGAACGTGTGGTAGTCCGTGTCGATGATCCAGTGGTCATCAACTGCAAGCCAGAAAGCCAGTGTTAAGTGACACCTTGCCTTCAGTGGAAAGAAGTCCTGGAAACTCACTACCTGGACCCTACTGCATTTTCTTAGGAAGCAGGAGATTTCTGACAACTTTTGCAAAACCAGGAAAACAAGAAAGGATCTTGCTTTTCTTTATGGAGAAAGTTCTGGCCTACAGAGGAAACCACATTTATGTCCAGGATCCACTCTCTCCCTGATGGTAAATAACTAAATAACACAGCGTCTTTCCAAGAGAAAAGACCGCTGAGAATGTGAGCCCATCAAAATCATAGAACAAACCTATCTACTGCCATCTTCACCATCTACCCTCCAATAGTATCTATGTCTTTGTCTAATGTGTGATTGCCACCAACTTATGTTAGCCCCAATACCAGGGCCTGTCTTTGGGGATGATGTACAGGTGCTAGCTCCTACTCCTCTCACTGACCTACTTCCCTCCCACCTCAGTCCATTGGAGGACGCCTCTCTGATGATCCTGGCTCTGCTGGATCCACTCTCTTTCCTGCTTAGGAGCCCAACTCTTTGTGCTAGCCAGAGAGAAGATTTTGCTTTGGGACACAGGAAGGCGACTATCTAGCATCAGCAACTCCTTCTAAGAACGTGTGGACTTCAGGACTTCCAGCAGTGGCATAATAAATAGACCACATTTATTCTTCAAATGTTGGATATAAGCAATGAAGATTAAGTATAAATAAAGGTAGTAAAAATATCAACAAAGGCAGAATGGAAAATACTATGAATATATGTGAGTGATTTGCCACAGAGAAGGAACAATGTGTTCAAGTTTTATTCAAATATAGAATATTTTATCCAAATATAGTATATTTGGATAAAAATGCCACATCTCTCTACTTAATTCGACATTCTCATTGACATGTATCTGTGGCTGTTACCTCCTGAGCACTAAATTATGTGCCAGTCACTGTGTGGACACTTTCCATGTGTTGCCTCTATTATTTCTCACATTGAACCCAAAGGGCATACTACCATTTCCTATTTTACAGATAAGAAAACTGAGGTAAAGAGAAATTAAATAATTCACCTAGGATCACAGAAAGCAGAGCAGAAATGGAATTCTAACCCAGGAGTGCGACTCCAGAATCCACATACCTAACCTCTACACCAGAGACTCCAGATACTAGGTAGATTGAGATCAGAAGGGACAACAAACCAAAGGCCTTTGTGTCTTGCACCCAAGGGATGACCTGCCCACGTGGAGCTCCATGTTGGAGGAAGGCAGAGGGGATGGAGACTTCAGCACTGGAGAGTGTGGGGCCAGCTCTAGAGGTCACCCTAAGTGTCCTCTGGGGGTGCCTTTCTGGAGTACCAGCCTAGATGGGATTTAGTACAAACCCAGGCCCAGGAAAGAAAGTTAACACAGGACAGGGAAGGGGCCACTTCTTCAGCTCACATCCAACCTGGCAGGAGGAAGAATGAGACACCACCGCACCTTCCAGGCTGTCCCTGGGTGAATGTCAGAGGCCAACCTCAGAGGATGACCCAGACGGAAGACGGCTCAGCAGTGACCGCAAAGTTATTCAGCGGATGGGCCAAGAATAGAAGCCATGGGCCTGCTGCTGGGCCTCAGCCTAACCGCGAGCTCCCTCCCAGGCTCCCTCCCAGGCCCCTGAGATCTGGGCAGTCTTTTTATCCCTGGATGAAATCATCTCTTCCCTGGTTATGGGATCACTGTGTCATCATGGGTGCCCCAGAAATCTGCCCCTCAGACACAAAAGCACCAGCCTTTAAAGTGTTACCTCCACTCCTGGTCCAGGCAGCTATTAGCTTGGCAAATCTGCTGCTTAAAAGAAAAAAATTGTTTTTCCAATATTGTTGCCAGAGTGAATTCCTACATAGAAACTAAGTTAACTTTCAATGTATGGCTTTAGTAAAGTCGACTACTATTCTTGCTTTTAAAGAAAGCTTAAGTTGGTTTGGTTTATCTCCAGCTTCTTTTTGGTAGGATAACTCAAAGATGAAGAGTTTCAATCCTAACAACCTTGACCAAACTCTCCTTTCTAAGAGTATTTGCAAGAGAGGCTCTGCATGAGCAGCAACAATTATCTTGCTTCTCCAGCCTCCTCGCATCCAGCAGCTAGGCAGGGTCCTTTGGAGAGCCAGACAACCCCAACTGTTTCCAGACAGCATCTAATAATTGCATGCAGTAGACTAGGTAAGCAGAGTGCTGGAAGCAGCAACTATGTAGCCAGAGCCCCTGTCTACCCTCCACTACCTCAGGAAGTGGGGCTGAATTACAGCTGTGTCTACAACTGTACTGGTTATATACACTGGTTTAGAGGTTTGGACTGCTAGTCCCCAATCAAAGAAAATGCCTGGTATCAAAAACTGTCTTAGTGACCTGGTTCTATTAAAAATCTGTCACTCATTTGCCAGGGACCAAAAGGGAGTTCTCCTTCAAAGAATAGCCTGACAGTTACAAGAAACAGCCCCCTAGGAGACATCTCGCCTGGGAGACACCCTGCAGCCATCCATCTCCCTGAGACACCCTGCGGCCATCTGTCTTCCTGAGACATCCTGCGCTATCTCACCTTGTGAAGACTTCTAGCAACTGCCGGTAAGAGAGCTCCCCCTATCCCCAGCCCATAAATACCCCTGTGTGAACAATAAAAGTTTGCAGCTTGATCAGAACTTTTGTCTTGCTGTCACCCTTCGTGTCTCTTGTCCCTTCATTCCTCCCCATCTAGGTTCGCTGCCCACGTTGATGTGTCCTGCCAGTTGGGACACTCATTGCTGTAGTTCTGGAACAATTTCCCTTCAGTTCCCTAAACCTGCACCTGCCAATTATTCAAAGTAGGGATACGAAGGGAGATGCTTCCTGAGGTTCTCAGGCTTCACAGTCTAGCTGAGCCAGGCAGGTGACAGATTTTATGCTATTCTTGACTAGTCCAATGGACCAGCAAAGTCAGTGGTATCTGAAGCCTTGATACCTGAGTGACCAAGATAACCCTCTGGATTGAAATATCTACACCAATTCTCAAACTGCCTTATGTGGAAGGAACATACTCAAGGAGCATACTTCAGGGGCTACCCCAAGAGTTTCTGATTCAATAAATCTGGATTGGGGCCCAGAAATCTGCATTTAACAAGCACCACAGCTGATTTAGATATGGATGATCCAGGGACCCTGACTTTGAGAAACAGTAATGAAAACATTTCAGGCTGACATTGTTATGCAGCCTGACAAGGGTCCCTTTTACTTCAGCTAAGAGGTGTCACTAAGTGCCACCAACCAGCTGTGTCTCCTGGGCCAGTAATTCAGTTTCTTCCCTTGTAAAACAAGAGATTTGAACCCAGTGTATGTTTTCTCACTCCAGACTCAGAAAGTAAAGCCATGATTTCCTCTCTGGAGAGGTAACAAGAAGCAACAATATCAAACAGGCACAGAGAATTTGTGTCACCAGCACTGGTCAAGTGCTTTCTGCATGTCAACTCATGGCATCCTCATAACACAACTCCATAAGGTAGGTGCTATGGCCACCTCTACTTTGCAGAGGAGGGAAATGAGTCATAAAGAGGCCAAGGAAAACATCCACGGTCCCACAGGTGGGATTGGGATTTGAACTCAGGTAGCATAACTTTAACAGGGCAGGCTTAACCACTGTGCAGGGCACCATTTCTTTTCTGAAAGGCAACCTAAGAAGGAATTCATCCTTAAGCCTTCTACATTATACTTATCTCACTTAATATCTATAGCAATCACTTTCAAGATTTCAATACTTTTTTTTCCACCTCCAAATGAAATCTTAGATAGAATCCCAATATACAAGAGTTAAAAGTGGAGCTAATATAGTTTGGTAGGGACAGGAGAGAAGAGACAAAACCCTACCTCCTCATCAGGTCCTTCCTCACCCCATCCCTTTACTAAATGCATTGTCAACCATATTCTGTCCCTTTAAGGAGCACACCTCAAAGTGCTGATGAGAATTATGTGTTTATTCTTTCTAAAAATTAGGAAACTTGTACCTCTTAATATTGGTTTTTGCAATCCATTACCAGAAAAACAATGTATTTTTTACTCTAAATGAATCACTTGAAGAAGTTTGCTGCACTATTTGAAATAACTTTTATTATTTCTAAAGGTAAAAAAGCTCTCTCTCCTTATAGATAAGCAACTCTTATACAGTGTAAATCAGCACTAAAATGTAATTTGATAAAAAATGCAATTTCATTTAACATGACTTTATAGGAAGTCAAAGATCACATGCAGAGCAATGAATGACATGAAGGACACTTCTGCCCTGGATCACCAATGGAAGAGCAGGCCCCTCAGGAGTCCCTGGGTCCTATCTCACAAGAAAGCACAAGTGGTACTTTGCAAAGGTCCCTCTGTATTAGGAGACTCTGCAGTTCAGAGCCACCCAATCTGGGCCTGGACGTTGGAATGTCTGACTTCCGGAATTGGCTCTCTCAAACTTGTGTTATCTTGGGCAAAGCACTTTTTTCTCCGGGTCTCAGTTTGTTCATCTGTATACTGAATCCCCTCTCTAAGGTTTACTCTCCTCTAAGATTCCATGACATGCCTCTTCCTGGCCTGAAATTTCTCTAGCTACCAAGTAGATTCCGGATTTGAAACTTAGGACACATGGGGGGGGGGGTAGTAGAAAGAGCAAATAATGTATTCTCATGAGTAGGCCAAGTTTTAAGATGCCCTGCTGAGAGTTCTCAACACCCTGCATCAGAGCTCCAGTACTTGGGAGAAAGAGAAGAGGCCATGACACTCAGAACACCCTGCCTGGCTCAGAACCCCGGCATCAACAGGCAGGACATTGAGGAGTGAGCCTACCCCATGCACAATGCTCCCTACACACTTGGATGGGGGTCTCAGCCTTTGTTAGGGTTCCCAGTCAAGCTGTCTCAGGAATTCAGCCCAAAGGAGCGGTAAGAGGACAAAGTGTGGAACAGGTTACACACCCTGGCACAGTAGATGACTGGAATTTGGCACGCGGCAACCCAAAGATCCTTTTGAGTTGGGTCAGGTTTCTTGAACTAGCTGCTCCCAATCCCAATCCCTTAACCTCAGGCGGGGCTGAGGTTTCCTGCACCCACACATCTTCCCCTAGGCCATTCTTCCTAAGGGTGCAGCTGGAGCAGGAACCCAGTGATTTGGCAGGTATGCCTCCCATCCCCAAAATGGTCCCACTGAGCTGACTACTCACTTCCTCTCTGGAGAAAGGAGGCTACGCCCCAGTACTTCATCTTGAACTTGGCAGGGTCTTCTGTGTCAGTGAAGGTGCCCACCATGTCTGCACACACTTCCCAGTTACTGCAAAAGCCAAGGGGATCCTCAGCCAAACCCAGCAAAGAGCTTCCTCCCTCCATCCCACCCTGGTGCTCCCTTCCCTCCCCAGTAAGGGTTTGGCGTTCAGATCGGCGCTCCGCACACGGCCACCCAGAGGCCACTTGCCTCAAAAGGCGAACACGTCCCTTGGCAGTGGCACTCATGTGGCCATTCTCATCCACGGAGAATTCGGCGACGATGTTGTCTTGCAGAAAGAGACCTTCAGGGTCCTTCTTGGCTATGGCGTACCAGGTCCCGGAGAACTGCCAAAGGGAGAGCCGGGGTTTGG